CCATCCACTCACCTCTCCACCCACACGCCCACCCACCCAGCCCTGTCCATCCATCCATCCATCCCTCCACTATTCATCCATTCGTGCACCCACCACCCACCCCTCGGTCCATTCGCCCATTCGCCCGTCCATCACCCCTCATAGCTACACCTGCCCGCCACCCGCCACCCGCTCCTCCGTCCATTATCCACTCACCTAACATCCGCCCCCCACCCGCTTGCCCGCGTCTCCCCACCCATGACCCGCCCACTCACTCATTCACCGATCTTCCCGCCCGTTCGTCCGCACCTGTATTTATCCATCCTTTCTTTTATCCATCCACCCATTTATCCATCCATCCATCGTTCATTCCTCTATCCTGTTGTTCCTACTTCCTGTTTTTCTTTATCTGCTCTTTCTTTAATCGATACTTTTCTCCATCATTGAGTCATCTTTTATTTTCCTTTTTCTTTCCTTGGTGACCGAGACACATTCCTAAGCTGTGTCCCCAAAAGGTCGGAGAGCTGAGCCTGCGGCCCGGTGGGCCGGGCGCCCCCGTGGGACCTAAGCCGGGGCTGGGGAAGGCCCCGCCCCCCCGCGCAGGCGCCCTCCCCGCCGGGCACGCCCCCGGCGCCAGAACGGTGCTCACAGGGTGGAAGGGCGATGCAGGAGCAGCGGGAGCCCCTGGCGGGGAGAGTGGGTCGGGGATGGGGGCCTCGGTGGCCCCGGTGGCTCCGGTGACTCCCGGGGCTGAGAGCTCACCCACCTGCCGTGCGCCTCCGTCCAGCCACGAGGGGCGGGGGGCAGGGGGGCAGGGGGCAGCTGTGGCGGTGACCCAGGGATTTGGGTTGGGGCTGGGACAGGGGAAAGGTTGAGCCTTCTTTCTGGATTCTTCTGAAATAAACTGGCTACATCCATCTGCCCCAAGTCCCATTTCTTTTTGAAGGGAGGCACCTGGGAGGAGGCGGAGGGGGCAGCAGCCCTGGGTCCCCTCAGAGGTGACGCCAGCAAAAGGGCAGGTAGGTCTGGGAGGGAGAGCACAGCCCCCCAGTGATGGGGCCGGAAGGAGCCGCCTCTGAGCCCCCACTTGCCAGCGGCGGAGCAGGGCAGGACCCTCCGCTGTCTCACCCGAAGCCCACGTGGCAGCCAGGGTCTTCACCCACCCCCACGGCCCCCACTGTTTCTGTCGCCCCCACTTCACACCAGCAGGCCGGGCCTCCTGTGTGCACATGGGCGCGTGTAGGGGTCCCTCCCTCGCCTCGGCCCCACAGCGCCTGGTGGCCAGGGAGACAGGGCCCTCGAGGGCAGGTAAGGGTCACGTCCTATCAGTGCCGGGGGGGGGGGGTGGCGGTCGCTGCTGCCCCCGCAGAGCTGACCCTGTCCCCTGGAGGCCCGAATCCCTTCCCTCCCGTGCGGGGGGCAGGCTGCCCGGGAGGGGCTCACGGCGTGCAGAGCTCCCACGCCACCGCACCAGCTCCCACCTTCCCAGCTTGGAGGCGGTGGGCACACGGAGCGCGGGCAGCCCCGGCCCGGCCCTGGGAGCGAGCCGGGGGCTTCCCACCCTCCCCCCGCGCCGTCTGCCTGTGTCCAGCACCGCAGGCCGGCTCGCAGTCCCATGCCCGCACAGCCCCCAGCCCGCTCTCTGCAGGTGGGTGCCCGCGAGAGTTGGGGGGCCCCAACCGTGCACCCTCCGGCGGGGCTTCCTCCCCTGGCAGAGAGGCCCTGACTCTGTCTGCCTCGCGGCCTGGGGCGGGGAGCTCGGGAAGCCCCCTCCGCCGGCTGGCGGCCGTGTGGCCTTGCCCCCAGTCTTCCAGAGGCCCCTTGGAAACCCCTGGAAGGAGCAGCCCCGGCACAAAAGGGCTGGGACTGTGCAAGCCCAGGGGGCGGAGGAGGCTCCGGAAAGCACCTGCCCACTCTGCCCGGCGGGCTGGTCTCATTTCTGCTTCCCCGCAGGTCCCTGGGCCGCCCTCTCGCCGCCGGCCCATTCCTGAGGCCTCGGGGCGCCGCCCTCGCCCTGCGGGAACCTCTGGCGGCACAGCCCCCGTGGGGCGGCTGTGTGGGGCTATTGATCACCTCCGAGGGGCAGCGCAGCCACGTCTGGGTCTCTGTGGCCTCGCGGGGCCTGGCCCCCTGCTCTGGAGCCCACGGGCATGCAGGCTCCTGAAGGGCATCTGCAGGGAAGGGGTGACCCAGACGCTCCCTCCAGGCCCCGGCCGGACATTCGGCCCTTTAGGCCATTGGTTCTACCTGTGAAATGGGGGGTCCCTTCCCTGGGTTCCGCAATGACACCCTCGGTTTGTCCACCCCGTGGCCTGCGATGGCTGTGAACTGTACATTTACTTAATATACTACGAGGTTTATCTGTGACGATGTGTCACAGCGTACTGAACGTGTGGCTCTAGACAGCTCTTCTTCCCACGTGGCCCAGGGACGCCCCAAGCTTGACCGCCCTGGAAGAGCTTGGCCAAGTCGGGCGCAGGGAGCGAGCCCGCGGAGGGGGAGCTGAAGCGGCAGTGGGCGCGGCCTTGCCGCCCACGCAGGCCAGTGCAGGGGCCCGTGCTGCCGTGCCCCCGGAACCCTGCCGGAACCCCTCCCGCTGCGTGCGGCCCGGCCCGCCGGCGAGGGCCTCGTGGGCCTCCCCCGTTGGCACCCAGGGGCCCATGGCTCTAGCACCCTCTGAGGGACCCCGGGGCCCCGGCAGCAGGCGGCAGCGTGGAGAGGAGGGCAGCACGTGCCGGGGGGGCGCGGCTGGCCCACCTGGTCCCCGAGACCCTCCCGGCACCATCCCGGGGTGGCCCAGGGCTGTGCCCACGTGGAGTCTGAGGAGGCAGAAGGGACGCAGGAGAGCGCGGGGGCCCGGCCAGCATTCTCCCAATCAGCAGGGTGGCGGCCCGAGCCGCCTGCTCCCCCACCCCCGCAGCCCGACGAGGGAGCGTGGGCGCCCCGCGGCCTGGCCAGGAGGGAGGCACCGGCCCCTGGGCTGAGCTCGGCTGCCCCCACCCCGGGGGACTTCAGGGCCTGGGAGCCCTGAGCTGTGGGCGCGACTCAGCGCTGACGGGAAGGAGCCCAGGACCCAGGCCTGCTGTTCTCCAGCCCCGGCTGCTTGCCTGTCCGCCGGCCGCCGCCAGACCGATGCTGTCCAGCTCCGCCCTCCCCCGAGTGGCCTGGCACCGCCCGTGGCTCTGGGCTGCGTGCGCCTGCTGTGCCAGGTGGTGTCTGGTCCTGCTGGGAGGGCACTGGGGTGAGCGGGCCGCCCCGGGAGCCCGGCCGCAGGGGCAGCTCCCACCCGCGGGGCGGTCTGAGGGGGCCCGTGGGCCCAGCTGGAGGGCCGCCGTGCAGGGCGCCCTCCGGAGAGCTGGGCAGCCCTCCCGCGGGCAGAGCCTGGGGGCTTCCCAGGGGGCTTCCCAGACCCCACGCCGTCAGCCGGGCACGGGGACATCCACAGGAACATCCCCAGGTCCCCTCGTGAACAGAGGACCCGCCTCAACCAGCATCTCAGTTTCATTTTGAAAGGGCATGTCGCGCACCACACGGGGGATGGTTCGGGGAGGAAGGGAGGGACGCGTCCTCGGGGAGCCACGCTCGGAGGCCGGGCTGCATCGGCCGTGCCGCAGCCTCTGGCCCTGCCCAGGAGAGGCCCAAGCACCCAGGACGGGCACCAAGGTGCCCCGGGGCCAGCCACGCCCCTCTTGTCCCACTGCCCAGGCTGCACCGCCTCCACACCCTGCTCTCCTCGTCTTGCAGGACAGCTGAGGGGTCACGGACATGGCCAAGGAGGGAGGCGGGTGCCCGGCCGGGCAGCTCAAGCCGTGCCCTTCTATGGGCACGAGGAAGCCAAGGAGCAGGGGAGCCGGGGGTGTGGCGGGCGCTGACGCGAGGAGCCGTTTCTGAGCGGGTCACAGCTGTCCCCGGTCACCTGCTGGGTGGCAGAGCACGCCCGCCCTGAGCCAGACCCCGCCGGAGGCCACGGCTCCGCCTCCCACCCGGCACACGGCCCCCGCAGAGACCCCACGTGCATGGGGTCGGCGGGGAGAAGGCGGCCCCCGCCCCCCACAACACAGAGGCCTGCGCACACGCCCGCACCCACGGCAGCCACTCGCCGGCGGGAAAGCCACCCTCCCGTCCAGCCCCAGGCGGAGCCGCTCCAGCCTCCCCCCCGAGAGCCGGGCAGCGTCCGCCCCACCAGTCAGCCCCGAGGCCCGGGCGCCCAGCCCCAGCGGCCTCTCTGCCCCCGCCGGGCTCCCATCGCCTTCCTGTGGCTCCACCTCTCACCCCCTCTCCCTCTGCCCGGGGCCCTGCTCGCCCCCTGATGCCCAACCTGGGCGCGGCCCACGGCCCCCTCCTGGGCTGGCCGGCTCCATCCCCACCCGGCTCAGGGTCTCCCGTCAGACATCATCCCCAAGTCGGCTCACGCCCACCTCTCCTGGGACTTGCACCGGGGCCATTGGGCCCTGGGTGTGGCTTGGCCCGGGTACCTTCCCTCCCAGGCCCCGGACCGGGATGCCCCGCAGGCCGCGGGGTCTTTCGGCCCAGCTCTGGGGGGCAGCGGCGGCACAGGTGGCCCTTTTGGCCAGCAGCCCACGCACAGCCCTGCCTGCGTTCCTTCACGGCCCACCTCCAGGCAGCAGCCTTGCCTGGCGCTCAGATCGGGTACCCGGCGACCCCCTGCCTCCATCGCCACAGCTGGCGGCCTCCCCGGAGGGCAGCGGTGCTCAGCAGAACCCGGGAGTGAGCTCTGGGGGTCCCCAGGCCGAGCAGCCCCTCTGGGCTGGGCCTGGTCCCGAGCCTCCCACCCCATGCCCACCTCTAGCCCTCCCAGCCTCAGCCCCGCCGCCCAGGCCCTGCCCTGGGTCCTTCCTGGTCCTGGGCCGGCTCTCAGGGGCCCAGCTGCAGAGGCACAGAGAGGTGCGCCCCGTCTTGGGGTGCAGCGGGTCCCAGGATGGCGCCCCGGAGCCCTCGGCCTCAGGGAGGAGCATCACCCCACAGAACAGAGCCCCCACCGCGCCTCCCGCCGGCCTTACCCCGCGCCTTCGTCCGTCAGCAGCTCTTCCTGCTCCTCGACGCTGGGGTGGCCCGGAGCCTCCGCCATCGGCCTGGTGTGCGGGCGCTCCTCGCCGCCTGTGTGCAGGGCGCTCCTCGCCGCCTGTGTGCAGGGCGCTGAGCGCTTCCTGGGGCGGCGGCCGGGCCCCCACCCCCAGCCGCGTTTCACTTCCCCCTTTCGCTTGCTGCAGGTTGAGGTTTGCACTTGGGCTGGGGTGTTGTTTTTAACCAGTTGCTGCAAGAGGAGAAAGGAAAAAGCCCAGCCCCCAGCCCCCAGGAAGCGTTGAGCAAGTGGCAGGGGCCTGGGGTGACAGGCCCTGTGCAGGCAGAGGGGGCAGGACGGGGCCTGGGGTGCCCTCGCGTCGCCCTCAGGCCTCCAGCGCCTGGGCCCAAGTCCCCCACGCGCCTCCCGGGGTCCCCGGCAGCCGCGGGGCCCCGGTTGTTGGAGGAGGCCTGCGTGCACACTCTGTCCCGCGCGCCGGGCGTGGCGCTGGCCCCCGAGCCCCCGAGCCCCCGAGCCCAGCCCCCGAGCCTCTCCGCCCGGGGCCTCCCGCGTGTGCTCGCGGGCAGGCACCCCCTCCCTGCGCGAGGGCTGCAGCCTCGACGCCCGCCCGGCCTGCGCTGTCCCGCTGGCCACGAGCGGCGCCCCCGTGTCTTGTCTGAACGTGTTGGGTATCCCTGTGGCTCCTCCGTGCATCCTCTCGCCGCCGGCCCCGGGGCTTCGGAACTGACCAAGGGGACAGTTAGCGTCACCGGGCTCTGGGGCGTAAGGGGGTCCCTGGAGGCACAAGCAGGATAGAGGGGACACCCTGCGTTTGTTTCCACCTTGACCGTCCTCAGCAGCTGCGAGTGGCCACACCGGGGCCCAGGAATCCGAGGCTGTGGGAGCCAGACCCCAACGCCGGGGGCCTTGGGCTACGTGCCGCTCGGCCAAGCTGGGTGCTCAGGCCGGGGGCAGAGACGTCCCACCAGCCCCGGTCTGACCCCTGAGGCAGGGTGACCGGGGGAAGGGAGCCTCGGGCCATCCTGTCAGGTCTCAGCCAGCGGCGGGCCTGAGCGTCCACCCAGAGGGACTCGGAGGGGCCCCGAGGAAAGGGAGCAGGGGCGAGGCCCAGGGCCGGGGGCGGGGGGCAGTCGGCCCCAGAGCCTCCATCCGCGGGCAGCCTGGCCAAGGGGCAAACCGACCCAGGGGGCGGCCAGGCCCCCGCCCGCCTCGTGCACCGAGGAGGCAGGAGGGCGCCCCGCACCTGGGAACCGGGACAGGCCGGAGCCAAGCCAAGGGAACCCCCGGGTCTCTGGGAGCCCTGGGCCTGCTGCCTCTCGGGCCCCCTGGGGCCGCTTCCTGTCCAGCAAGGGGCTGGTGGCCGGTGGTCTCTCCGAGCGGACAGCATCCCCAGCCCACAAGCCCCTGGCCTCCGGCCCCCTCCGGGCGCCTTGGCAGAGCGGGCGGCCCCGGGCTGGCCACCCTCGGGCCTGTGGCGGGCTTGACCCCGCTGTCACGGCCGGGTCGTTTAGGGGCCTCGCCAGTACGGGAGAGAGCACGTGACGGGGGGCGACCCCCGCACCCCGCCCCGCCCCACCGCGGCCGCCCGTGGGCTGCGTGACTGCCCCCCACCCCCCGCACGGGCTCGGTGCGAAACGACACTGGGCGGGGCCTTCTGCCCAGTCCTGGTGCCTTTCGAGAGGGACCCAGCGCAGCCTGAAAGCAGGCCCCGGCCCCTTCAGGCCCAGGGAGCCTGCGCCCCCGCGCGGTGCCCGGCCCCAGGGCCCTCCAGGGCGGGCTCCTGCCCGCGCCCCCATCTAGCCTCACCCCGAAGGCGCAGAGGCAGCCTGGTCCCTCCTGGTCAAGCTCTGTCCCCCAGAGGCACAGGTTGGAGCCCCCCCCGCCGCCCCCGGCACCTCCGAATGGGACCTGCCTTGGAAACAGGATCTTTGCTGATGTAACCAGTTAAGATGAGGTCACTAGGGTGGGTCCTGACACAGTATGACTGGTGTCCTTCTGAAAAGGGGAACTTGGGGGGCAGACACACACGGGGGAGACGCCGCATGGACTTGAAAGCAGAGACGGCGGGGGGGCGGGAGGGTGGCGCGCCTGCCCGTTGAGGAAGCCCACGGAGCGCCGGAAAGCCCCAGGAGCCGGGGCGGGGCCTGGGCCCGCCTCTCCCGCCCCGGCTCCAGCTCGGACGCCCCTGTGGGCACCTCGGCCCGGGGTTTCCGGCCGCGGGGACTGGGGGCGACCCCTTTCTGCTGTTGGGAACTTCTCGCTGGAGGGGCTTGGCGTGGCCCAGCACACACACACACACCCCCCGCCACCGTGCGACCAGCAATCAGGCCCCAACACCTGCCGTTGGGAGACAGAGGGGGTGACGCCCCTTGTCCGCGGAGCCTCCCATGGAGGCACAGCCGCCGCGCCAGGGAGGCTCTGGGGGCACCGGGGACCTGCCGGGTACGGGGGGCCCAGACCCAGCCGCCCTGGGTCACCCTGGGCCCCCTCCCACGTCACAGAGGAGATGGAAGCAAGGGGGCCCCACCTCGAGGCCTGGCCCCGGCCCCTCCCTGCTCTGAGACGGACAGCCCGCAGACCCAGGGCCGCCTCCCTGCGGGGCAGCCCCACCGCCCGCCCCCCAACACCAGGCCTCCCCGTCCCGGGACCGCGGGCGTGCGCTCAGCCCTCTCACATCTTCTAAGAAGTCCAAACGAAGTCTCCTGGACCAGGCCCTTCGCAGGCCGCCCTCCCGTCACGCCCCCATCCCTCTGTCCCCTCTGCGGGACCGGCAGGCCTGGGGGGGGGGCGCCCCTGGGGGACCCGGCGTCCGTCTGGGCGGCAGGTCCTACGGGCGGGCCCTTCCTGTGCGTCACCCGAGAAACTGGCACTCACCGTTCACATGGCGTCGTTCACCCCACATTTGGGTGGGGGTGGGGGTGGGGGCAGAGACCGCGTCTTATGTGTCCCCGTGCCCCCAATCCCGGAGCAGTGTCCAGGGACGGGGGGACTGACCGAGCGACGCGCCAGGCTAGTCGGAAGCCAGGACGGAGCGCGCTCTGTGGGGGTCAGGGCGGGCCCAGGGAGGCGCCAGGGACCTGCCGGGAGGGGTCCGTGCGGGGCCGGGGGCAGAGGGACACGGTGCTGCTGCGGAGCATCAAGGCGGACCGTCCGGGGAGCTGGGCACCCGGACACGTTGGCCTCAAAGGGCAAATTGGGACGGTCCCCAGGAAGGGCGATGACAGGACCACACACTCGTGACTTCGGGGGACGAGGCGCCAGGGAGGGTACAGGGGAGCCTGGGCAGAGCGGCTGAGGGGGAGCAGTCAGCACAGGGCGGGTCCGGCCGGGGAGGGACAGAGCGGGGCTGCAGGCCAGACCTGGCAGCCGCCCGAGGGCCGGCGCGCAGCTGCGGGCACCGGCAGGGCCGCCGGAGCAAGGGGGTCGCTGCTGGTCAGCACACGGGGTCCAGCCCCTGCAGGGCTGTTCTTGGGGACGGGGACAGAGGCTGGGCAGAGGGCGGGGTCCCTGGGAGGGTCGCGTTGGAGGTGGGACTCTGGCCAAGGCAGACAGGCAGGCGGCGGAGGGCGCTTTGGGGACCCCCGAGAGGGGTGGTCTCAGAAGAGCTGAGGTGGGGCAGGTGGCGGGGGCTCAGGGCGTCTGGGCCGAACGCGGCCCTGGAAACCCACGCCCTCGGGTCCTGACCCTCGGCGCCTGCAAGCGCGGCCTCGGTAGGAAGGAGGGCTCGGCAGGCGACCACATGGAAGGGAGGCCCCCAGCGAGGGTCTCATCCGGTGTGGCTGCCGTCCTCGCCAGGAGAGGGGCTGGGACGCAGACGCGCACAGAGCGATAGCCGCCTGGGGACACGGGGAGGGGACGGCCGTCGGCACGTCCAGGAGGGGGCCTCGCGGGGACCGGGCCTGCCTGCGCCTGGGGCTCGGACTCCGGCCTCCAGGACGCGGACCGTGAACGTCTGTGGTCCAGGCCGCCGTCTGTGGCGCTTTTTACAGGGGCTCAGGACACCAACACAAGGGCCGCGTCTGTCGGGCAAGGCAGGCCAGACATTTCAACGGATCCCTGGGTCTCGGGGCCTTGCTCTCTCCCCATCGGCAGCTGGCAGGCGGCGTGGGTGGGGCAGGAGCCCTGCTGCTACCCTGGGACCTGGGCTCTTCCCCATCAGGGAACCAGGGTCCCGGCTGGTCTCCTGCTTCCAGCTGGCAGGGCACACGGGTGGGGACCCGAGGCGGGCGGGGGAGGCCAGGGGCCAGGCGCCGACACACCTGCCCACGGGGCTCAGCCTCAGGGCCTGAGACCGGGGGGCAGGAGGAGAAGCCAGGGTGCCCGGGGCGGGCTGGCGGCCTGGCGCTGCCGCTAGCAAGCGCCGGCCCAATACAGGGGGCGGGGGGACTGGAGGAAGTGGGGACACGGGCGGGGGGACTGGAGGCCCCGTGGGGAAGCCGCACAGAGGCGCCCGGGGCCGGTGGGGACCGGCCAGCTCCGAGAGGCTGGGGGGCGCCTATGGGCCGGATGGGCAGGACACCCCCCCACAGGGGTGCCCCCCCCAGGCGTCTTGCGGGTGAATCACCTGCGCAATAGAGGCTGGTGTACTGGGGTCCCCCCAACCCAGCGAGCTGGGTCTTAGAGCCCTGGTGCAGGCACTTGAAGAGGAAAAGGCCAGGGGGGGGGCTTCGGACCGACGGGGACAGGGAGGTCGCAAAAGGGGATCAGAAGGGTTGGAGGGACATGAGGAGAGGACAGGCAGGTGGGGAGTGGGCCCCCCAAGTGGATGCGCTGGGAGGGCCAGTGAGGCGAGAGCCGCCAGCTGCCTTTGGGGGCGAGTGAGGGGGCAGCGGGCAAAGGGGGGCAGCCCAGGCCCCCAGCTGTGGCCCGCGTGCGCGGGGCGGCTTTTCGGTGCTGTGTGCACCTCCGACGTGAGGCGAGGGGGCCCAGGTTGTTGGGGGAGTCGTGGTGGGGGAACCTGGCGGGGCGGGGGAGGGACAGCTGCCGGGAGCTGGGCCTGGGCTTGATGGAGTGGGTGTGGGCACGGGGTGGGAGGCCCCTCCCTGAGGCCAGCCTGGGGGGCTCAGGGCTGGGGGGCTCAGCGTGGCTGCCGGCCGGCAGGGGGAACGGGGACCCTCTCCACAGATGGCGACAGAGGCCCAGGCGTCCCGAGCCCTTGGAGCTCATCAACATCCCAGTCGGCTGGGGGCTCATCATGGGAGGCCTCCTGGAGGAGGTGACCGTGATGAAGTTGGGGAGGGGGCGGCTGCGGGAGAGCCCAGGGGAGGCCCCAGGCCCGTGACTGGGGCCCGGGCTGACTCCCAGGAGGTGCGGGCGGTCCCTCCCCACCTCTCCATCCCGTGAGGCAGGTGAGCGCATCTCCACACCCCCTTCATAGTCGGGGAAACCGAGGCCCGCAGCCCATCGGGACAGTGCGAGGAGGGTACAGGGCAGCCGGGAGGCCCGTGGGCGGCCGGCCACGGGGGCAAAGGCGGGCCTGGGCCCGGACCGCGCTGCTGCTGCAGGACCGACAGGGGCCGCTGCGTCGGCTGCGGCCGGGGTCTCCTGCCTCCCGAGCACAGCCCAGGTGTGCGCGCCCGCAGCTTTCCCGCGAGCCGGCCTTTCATCTCCCCGCCCGCCTGCGGCCTTGCAGCCTGCTCCCACCGGGCCGCTCGATTTACTCTCATCCGGTTTGCCCACCTGTTGGCTCCCAGCACCCCAGGACGCTGGGGCTCCGCTGCGCCCCTGCTGCGGCCCCAGCCCGGCGCTCAGCCACCCGGGGAGCCAGGTCCCTTCCAAGGGGGGAGGGGGGCGCGTCTCTCCCTCAGCTCAGCAGGGCAGGGCAGGGGGCAGCCCCCACTCCCCGCCCCACCCGCCCCGGCCCTGCAGCCAGGCCGCCGCCCCGCCCAGGACTCCCTGGGGCTCCCTTCGGGGTCCTTCCTGGGCCGTGTCCAGGACTCGCCTTGTCCCCCACCTCGCCCACCTCAGGCTGCCCCCCGCCTCTCCTTTCCAAGGACCCCATCCCCAGCCCAGACCCCTGCTCCTTCTTCTGCCGCTGGACGCTGCGGCCGCCACAGGATGGCGAATGCACGGCCGGCCCGTCCACTCTGGCCTCTGCCCCGGACGGGCCTCGGCCTAGACCGTCTCTCGTCCTCCTGGCCCCCCGAGCCCGCCCGGCTCCGAGCCCCCGCCCCAGGCCTGCACCCCGCTCGGAGCCCTGAGCACCCCTCAGCCCTGATGTGCGTCCTGAGCCCGGGATGGACCCCCGGTGCCTCGCTGCCTGGCTGTGCTTGCCCGGCCCCAGGGGTGAGCCAGGCGCTTCCCCAGGAGGCCCGGCCGCCCCCCCACCGGGAGCGGGCAGGGGGCGGGGGGCCCGGGGGCTGAGAGGCCGGGGCCAGAGCTACAAGGCCGCCTTGTTGGGGGGCCTGCGCAAGCTGCTCAAAGGACACAGCTGGATCCCAGGCTGGGGAGGGCGGGAGCGGCCCTCGGTGAAGGCCATCGGGGCGCCGGCTGGCGTCAGCCCCCGGTCCCTGGAGGCAGCCAAGGCTCCTGTCTCCGGCCCCTGGCGCTTCAATCACTTGGGCCTCCGGAGGGCAAGGGCAGGGCGGCCGCCCCTCCGCCGCGGGCCGGGCCGGGCCGGGCCCCCCCGGCTCCCCACCAGAGATCTGAGCAGAGGGGCCTTGGCAGGCAGGCCCCTGCGCCATCTGTCACGGGGGAGGCTGACAGCCGCGGCCTCCCTGTGACAGTCCTCATCCGGGCCGTCAGGGACGCAGCCCCTTGATGTGTGAGGTGGGCCAGGGCCTCGGGGCTGAGCAGAAAGGGGACCCGAGCCCTCCCGCGGGGCCCAAGTGGGGCCAGGCTGGCTGGGCTTCCGTCCTTGCGGGCGGGGGCACGGACCCCGGCCGCCGCGCGCTTCTCCCTGGGCGCAAGGCACCCTGGGAGGACCGCCTGGCCCGGGGCTGGCTGCCCCCCCCCCCCGCGTTCCCTGTGGGGGCCGGGAGCTCCGAGGAGGCCCAGCCTGGGGGGCTGGGGGCCTCCCGCCCTGTGCATGCCTGCCGCGCCCCCGGCCCGCTCTGTGCCGCGTGGAGCCGGTCCCTGCGCGGGCAGAGCTCCTTATATGGTCGTGCAAACTGGCTGCTGGTCTCACGTGCAGAGCTGCTGCTCAGACGTGACTCAGGCCATCTGTCTCCGGACCCTGAGGGGTCGGCCCGGCCCGGAGTGAGGCCCGGCGAGGCCTGGGAAAGGCCCGCCAGCCGCTGACCATGGCGTGCGGCCTGGCCCGAACCCCCCAAAGCCCGTGCTCCCGGGCACGCGCCCACGGCCCCGCCCCCCCGCCCCCCACTGACTGGGGCCTTCCCGAGTGGGAGTGTGGCACCGGGGCTCGGGCCGCCCGCGTGTGGGCAGAGACGGGGGGCAGGACCACAGCAGACCAGGCGCGGAACCGCGAGTCTTTATTGACAGCCACGACGAGCCGGTCCTTCCCGCAGCTCGCTCTGCTGGCCGCGGGCAGGGCGCGGCGGGGGGCGGGGGGCCTAGGACTCGGACTCGAACATCTTCTTCCGGCCCTCCATGCCGGACTTCTCCTCGATGTTCTTCCTCCAGTCTCCCACGTCGCGCAGGTCCCGCTCCTGGGGGCGGGCGGGAGAGGCTCAGGCTGCCCGCCCCGCGGCCCCCAGCCCCGTCTCCCCTCTGCGGACAGCCCCCCGGGACTGGGCGGGCCCGCTCCGCAGGGACGCCGCGCGGCCTACCTTCTCGGTGTCCTCCTTCTTGACCTGCTTCAGGTTGGCCCGCAGGTCCATGCACACCTTGTGCTTGGAGCCCAGCAGCGCCTTGAGCATGGCGTCGGCCGACATGCGCACCCTTCTCAGCGGCGGCCGCTTGAACTTGCCTCTCAGGTCGAACAGCTTCTGGTTCATGTCCTCCAGCTGCGGGCGTGGGGGGCGCTGGGCAGGAGCCGGCAGGGCCAGGCGCCCGGCGCCCCCCGCCGCCCCCGCGGCGCCCCGCGACCTCTCACCTCCTTGGTGCTCTTCTGCACCTTCACCTCCATGTCGTACTTCTCCTCCTCGGCCGTGTCGATCTTGGCGTGCAGCTGTTTGCAGAGCTCCTGCGGGGGGGCCGGGGAGCGTGGCTGTCCCCGCGCCGGGCCTCTCCCCGCCCCGCCGTCCCCCCGCTTGCCCCCTCGGCCCGTGGGGAGCCCGAGGCGGGGTGCGTGGGTACCTGCACCTCCGTGGTGGAGCCGGGGATGTGCAGCGGGGGGCAGTGCTCCGCCAGGTAGTTCTGCTTCTCTGTCTCGCGGCGGCTCTCCTCCTTCTCCAGCTCCGTGGCCGCGATCTGCAGCATCACGCTCTGCGGGGTGGCAGCAGGCGGTGAGGGACTGCGCGCAGCGGCCTCCCCGGGCCCCCCCCCGGCCGCCGCGGCCCCCCGCCCCGGGCGGCACCCACCTTCAGGTGCTGTCTGCGGGCCGTGATGGCCCGGTTGCGCTTCTGCAAGGCAGGGAGAGGAGCAGAGTCAGAGCCGCGGGGCCGCTCGCCCCCAAGCACCCCTTCCCAGGTGCTGCACGGCTTCCGGCGGCTGGGCCTGGGGGTCCCCAATGCGGCCCGGGGGCCCCGTGGGGGTGCGGGGACGAGGCTGCGCCCCGGGGGCCATGGGGAGGGTTGGGGGTCCCTGCAGGGCGGGGGGTGGGGTGCAGTAATTCGAGAAAAGCCATTTCCAGGACAGCTGGGCCACAGCCCCACTTCCCCTGCCCCGGGCGGTCCTGGCAGCCACTTCCCCGCGCGGCGGCGGCCCCGTGGGCAGGGCGGGCGGCGGCGTCCTCTGGGCCTTGCGACTCGGACCTCTGACTCATCCCAGGTGGGCGGTGCCGCCCCCTCCACGTTTCAGCCCCAAGGAGATACTCACCTCATCACTGATCCGGGAGGGTGGGGCGGGGGAGAGAGAAGAGAGAGGTTAGGGGCCTGCCATGGGGTGGGGGGACGGGGAGGGCAGAGTGGGAAGAGACCCTTGCCCGGGGGCGGGGAGGTGGGGTGGCAGGGCACCGGGCATGGGGCCTTGACTTACTCCCCCATCCTGAGGTCCTGGGCTTAGAGCCTGTGGGAGAGAAAGAGGGGGCGTCACCACAGACCCGCGGGGTGCAGCCTGTGCTGCCCAGCGCCCAGCTCCACCCTCCCGGGCAGGGGGTGATGTCTCGGGATGCCCTGGGGCGAGAAGTAAGAGAAAGTGTCCCAGAAATGGCCCGGGCGGGGCCTGGAGTGCACAGCTGTCCCTGAGGAGGGCGGGATGGGCCAGCGCAGGTGGCCGCCAGAGAGACCCTATTTTTAGCCCTGCTCCTTCGGCTCGGGGCCCAAGTGCATGGCAGAGGCTGCTCCCCGGTTTGGCCCGGGCTCCCTCCCACGCGAAGACCCCAGCCGGGGCCCCAGAAACGAGGTCTGGTCGTCCAGGACTGCCCAGGGTCCCCGCATCGCCCCAGCCCGCCCCCCGCTGCATCTCTCTCCGGCCCCCCGCCCCGTGGGAGCCCCTGCCCCACAGAGGGCGACTGGTGGCAGGCCCCCGCCCCCAGCCCGCAGCCCCCTGCCCCGGGAAGCCCTCCTGCGAGCCAGCCCGCGCGGCGCCCGCAGCCTCGGCGCCGGCCAGCCTCACCTGGCGTCGGGGCTGCGGTGCTGGGAGCGAGGTCAGACCGGCAACAGCGCGTGGGGCTGGTGGGCCCGGGGGAGGGGTATAAATGTCCTCCCCGAGGCCGGGCCCCTGCTCAGAAAGGACATGGAGGCCTCCTCAGACCAATGGGGGCGCAGGGACCTCCCCACCTGCCCAGGCCGCCCGGCCTGGTCCAGCCACACGCCACTGGCCCGTCCAAGAAGTCTTGGACGGGGGGGGGGTGCCAAGGTTGGGTCACTCTATTTAGGGATCGGTGACGCGCCGGAGAAGCCGCTGCTCCTTGCAAGGAGCGTGAGGGCAGCTGCGTGCAGCCTCGAGGGGCCTGGCCCGGCCGTGGCAGGGGCGCGGCTCCGGGGTCCGCGGGGGGCTCTGGGACCCCGGCCCCGCGGGTCTCGCGACAGGGCCCTCCACGCCACGGGGTCCCCACGGGACGGCAGCCACCTCTCCGGCAGCTCCCCGTCCCCCTTCCAGACCAGGGCCGTCTCCGCCACAGGCCGGCGGTGCCCCCTTGCCCCATGCCAGCCCCAGAGCAAGGCCCGGGCCCCGGACACGGCCCCTGGGCCCGCGGCCGCCGGGGCTCTCGGGGGTGGGCGCCGGCCCCCGCCTCCCCCCGCCCCCGGGCGCGGGTAGGGGCTGCCCGGGGCGTGCAGCCTGTGAGGAGCCGCCCTGCCTGCGGGCGGTTCCTGCACGGCTCAGAACACGCCCTGCAGCCAGGGTGGTGGCCCCGCCGGGAACCCTCCCGGACCCGAGGGGCCAGGGCCCGCGCCCCAACCCCGTGGAGGCATCTGGAGGACCAGGACTTGGCACCCTCCGCACCGGGCGCCTGGGCCGCGGGGCGGCTCAGGGCAGCGCGGCCCCGTCAGAGCGGCTGCCTGCTCTCCCCGCCGGGCTGGGCCCCTGGGCCCAGCGGCAGCTTCTGCAGGTGTCTGCTGCCCCCTGCTGCTCACACAGGGGAGGCCCTGCCGCCGCCCGCCCCGAGGTTCGGGGGCTCTAAGGGGAGCCGCGGCAGCCCCCAAGGCTGGGGTCCCTTCCTTCCACCGTCACCGACCCCCCAATCGTCCCGACGGCCCACCAGGTGCCTGTGGGGCCCTCTTGAGCCCACTCCGCTCACACTGTCCCTGAGGCTGCGGCCGCCACGTGGGAGGGCGCCCCGCCTCCCCGCGCCGTCCTCACCGGGCTCGAGGGGCCCTCTCCGCACCCGGGGTCCGGCATCGGGGAGAGGCCTCAGGGCCTGGATGGGTCTGAGGGGAGAACTCCTCCCGCCCCCGGCGGGGTCCCCAGCGCTCAGGAAGGACGCGAGGCCGGCGAGGGAGGAGGCGTTTATTGCAGTGGGTGCCGGGGCGGCCTGGACAGACGCCTGCCGCTCAGTCCGGGGAGACGGAGGCCCTGGGGTGCTTTCAGGAGCCGGGCAGGGGAAGTCTCAGGCGGGGCCGCAGGCCCAGGGCCTCGTCCACCTCCCCGGCGGGCCGCAGGCGGTGCCACTGGACGACAGGCCTCCGGGCGTGGGCCAGCATGTCCGCCCAGTGCTGCAGCGGCTGGCCCGAGGCCCGGGGGCCCAGCGCCACCTTCCCCACGGGCTCGGCCCGCCGCCCCGGGCCCCGGGCCCAGACGGCCAGGATCAGGTCCACGCTCTGGGCAGAGACAGGCAGGGGTGCAGCGGGGGAGGACAGTGACCGCGGTCAGGTCGGCCCCCCGCGATGGCCCGCCCGCACGCCCGCCCGCCCGCCCGCCTGCCCTTCCTCCGGCCGCCCACCTGGACCTGGCTGAAGGGCACGTGGAAGGTGAAGGCCTCATTGAAGTACGGGGCGGCCGCGCCCTTCCTGGCGGACGTCTTCCTCGTCTTCCACTTCCTCTGGCTCAGCGCGAGCTGGACCTTCACGTAGAGCTCTGGGCAGGCGAAGGTTGGGGGCGTCGCAGGCCTGACAGTCGAGAGCACAGCCACCCCGCTCCGCCCCACGCCCACGTGGAGGGGCGGCCGGCTCTCACCTGCCCGCTCCAGCTTCAGGCCGCGGGCCTCCAGCACCACCACGGTCAGCCGGCCTGAGCCGGGCGCATACCGGAGCGAGAAGCACAGCTCCCCCGTCGGCTCAGCCTGTGGGCACGGGCGGGACCTCGGTCTCCTTGCAGGTGCCCGGGGCAGGGCCGGGCCGCAGCCAGGGCGTCGGCGGCCTCACCTCGGCGGTGCCCGGCGGGCCCAGCTGGTGCCAGAGTTCCAGGACGTGCTGCAGATTCACGGCGCCCAGCGGCAGGCTGAGCTCCCCAAGGGGCGCGTGCCCGGGAAAGCGCCTGAAGTCCAGCACCACCACCTTCAGGACGGTCCGGGGCAGCTCCTCCGGCGGGACCTGCAGGCCGGAGACTGAGCAGGGCCCTGCCCCCCCCCCGCCCCCCGAGCCCGGGCCGCCGCCCGCCCGCCCGCCTGCCGCCCGCCCAGACTGACGGGGAAGGAGCAGGTCTCGTCGAAGACGGGGCAGAGCGTGCCGCGGTGCACCCGGGTCTCATGGCTGCGCCCGGCCTGAGAGGGCAGGCTGACGCGGGCGTAGGGGTCCGCTGTGCCGCCCGGGCTCCTGGCCCGCAGGTCCACGGCCTGCTTGAGGCCCACCCTGAGCTGGGGGCGAGGGGGGGCTCAGCCCAGGCCCTCCCGGGGCGGCCCGCACCCGGCGCCTCCGCATGAGCCCACGGGCCCAGCTGCCCGCAGGGAGGGACCCTCACCTCCCGGCTCCCAACGTCGTATTCCAGGGAGAGCTGCAGGCGCCCCCACTGCGGGGCGCCCCCCAGGCCGGACTGCACATCGTCCACCTCTGGCTGCACCTGGGGGGGAAGGCACCATGGCAGGTGCTGCCCCCGTGGGAACCCAGGCCTGGGGTCGGGTCGAGCGGCCTGCCTCCGGCCAGGCCGCCATGAGGGCTCAGCGCCTCGGCTCAGCCCTGAGACCGGCCAGGACGGACAGCGGAGCCCTGAGTCCCTCGCCGGCCCCTCCCAGCCGCCGTCGCCCCCCCAGGAGGGCCCTCGGGCCAGCCGCCCGCGTGGCGCTCGCCCCCGGCCACACTGAGCCGCCCCGGCCCCGGGCCTGGACCTCCAGCTGCGCCGTGGGCTCCGGGGGCGCTGGGGCCTCTGCTCACCAGGCGGGTGGTGGTGTTGCTTTGCACCCGGCCCAGGCCCACGGCCTCCTTGTCCCTGGGCTTCCTCGTGCGGCGCCGGCGACAGCAGCAGCAGAAGAGCACACAGAGGAGGCAGGTGGCCAGGAGGAGCCCGGCGGCGGCGGCGGCGGCCATGGGTGCCCAGCGGGGCCCTGGGGCGGGCACGGCGTGGGCCTGAGGCGCCCCTCTGGGCAGCACTGCGCCCGCCCGGCCGGGCCCGGCCCCCGCCCCCGCCCCCGCCCCTGCCGGGCCCCACGACTCACAGGGTATCCTGGCCACGAGGTCCGGAATGAGCCCGGGAGCGGCCGTGGTGCCCCCTGTAGCTGTGGTGGCCGCTGGGGCTGGGGCTCTGCGGGGGCCTGGGGGGCGCCCCATCTCCCCACTCTGCTGGCTGCGGGGAGACGGCCAGGGCGGCCGCGTCACGGGTGGGGGCGGCCCGTGGGGCCCCTGCCCACCGCCCTGTCCGCCCAGCGGCGGGGGTCTCCTGGGCTGGGGGCAGCCCGGGGCGACAGCTCAGAGCGGAGCCAGGGCAGGGGGGCCCTGGGCTTCGGCCCAAGTGCCAGCTCCGCAGCCCCCAGCCCGAGCTGAGCCGGCCTGGCCGGGACCGCCGGGGCCCTGCCCTCGCCGGTCTTCCCTGCAGAGCCCCCCACTTTGCAGGGCCCCCCCGCAGGAAGCCCCTCGATCCCGGCCCAGGGCCTGTGGGGGCCGTCGCCTGGGATCCCATCTGACCCCCGCCCGACCTCAGGCCACTGCGGTTTGCCGGTCACGCGGCGGCATGTTCACACGGGGGAGCCCCGGCCCGGGGGGCCTGGAGCACGGTGAAGGGGGCTTGCACGGTCAGGGCCCCGCTGGGGTCACGGGGGGAGCGGGGGGAGCAGGGGGACCGGCTGCCGGCGGCGCGAGCTGGTCTCAGCAAGCTGGGGCCGACGGTGCGTTCCTGGCACGGCGGGCGCGGGGCCAGAGCACCTGGGGGGGAGGGGGTGGGGGCAGGCAGGCACAGGGTGTAGCTGGGAGCGGCCAGAACATTCCTTGCAAACTGACTCAGCAGCCGCCGGCCCAAACCTGCCGATCTGCCGCCCTTGGGCGAGGGGGTAGGACGGAGGGCGGGCCGCGCAGCCGCCTGCCTGGGGCCTGGGGGCCTGGGGAGGGAGCGCACCTGGCGGGGCGGCTCCTCCCACAGCAGGGCCCCGGGACCCGAGCTGGGGCCGACCCCCGGTGGGCCCGTGGCGCCCCCAGCCCCCCAGCGGCTCTGGCTGGTTCAGCTCCTCCCGGCCTCCCCTCCTCTGGGGCGGCCGGCAGCCGAAGGGTGCTTTTCCCCGGCCTGGGGCTCCCTCCTTCTGCCCACAACAGCCTGCCACCCCTCTTGCCTTAGGAGCCCAGCCCAGGCCGCCCCCTGCAGAAGCAGCCAGGCGTCGCCCCGGGCCGGAGCCCCCGCCAGCCCGGGGCTGAGCGTGCCGAGGGGCCGGCGGGAGGGAGCCCACCGCGGTCCTGAGATGACCCCCCACGCCCCCGATCATCAGTGCCCGCTCCCCGACAGGCCGGCCACGGCAGCCCCGCGCCCAGAGCCAACCCACCCCCGCACGTTCGGAGGGGGTGCTGCCTGGGCCGGCGCTGGCACCCCGGTCCCTGCCGGTCAGAGGACAAGGAGGGATGTGGAGCCCGAGCTCGGTGGGACGCCTGCCTCACAGGCTCAAACTGCTAACTGGAACAAGAGGCTGCACGTTTTCTCCATGGGCCCCGCAGAGGCACGGCGCCTGGTGGCACCGGGGGGCCCGGCGGGATCCCCGGAGCAGCAAAGCAGGGGCCAGAATCAGAGAGGCCCCGCTCCCCGCGGGGAGTTTCAAGCCGGGCTCTCCTTCCTGGGCTGCCGGAGCCGCCGTGGAGTTAAAATGGCTGCCGTTGAGGCTTCTGTGCGGAGGATTCGGGACCGGGGTCAGCTCCGGGCCTGTGTGTCCGCCCACGTGAGGCTGGGGGCGCGTGCACACCCTCGGGCCTCTCCCCGACCTGCTTTCCTGGTGTCCTTGCCCGGCTCAGGTCAGGGCGGTGCGGGCCCTGAGTCACAGGGACAGGGCGCAGCCGGTCCGGCAGGGTTCCCGACCCGGCCTGGGGAAGGTCGTCCCCTAGGGCCACAGGAGATGCCTGAACGCTGGCCCCAGAGGGTCTCGGGGCGCTCCGGACACCGGCCAAGGGCGCAGAGGGGCCCGGGGAGGCCCGGGGAGGCCCCAGGGAGGCCGAGGGTCCCTCAGGACCGCAGGGTCCACACGGTGGTGAAGGTTCAGGAACGCAAGGCCACCAGGTGGCGCCATCTGCTGCTCGGGACCCCGCTGGCCGAGGGTCCGGCCTCCCGGCCTGGGGCTTGGGAGGAAGCCTACAGGGGCCCAGGTCGCAGACCACCTGGGCGACCCTCACGGTCCCCGCGAGGTCCGCCGGGGTCTCCGGCCTCCCTCGTGCCTCCACGCGGGGCTGCTGTGGGAGGGCTCCCTCCTGCCCACGCCCTGTGGGCCAGGAGGCCTTCCTGGGCTCCAGCTCCGGCTGCGGTCCGTCGGCCCATCCGTCCATCCCTCCATCCCCTGCGGCCTGGCTGCAGAACTCCCTCCCTCGCTAGGCGCCCAAGCCGATTTTCCCAGGCAAGGGGGGCAGCATCCTTCCAAAGTGCAGCCCCCCTTGCAGCCGCCCCTCCGGGGGGCCCCTCCAGCCAGTCGGCGGGCGCAGTTCCACGCTCTCCTTCCGGGCACGGGCCTGTTTGCCCCTGCCGTTCCGTGCCGGGCGGTCCCTCACCGTCCCCGTCCCCCTGGACCTTCCAGCACTCCACTTCTTCCAGGAAGCCCTCCGCCCTGGGTCCCCGCCCAGGCCCGCGTCCCAGCTCCCCCAGGCAGCGGGTGGCCGGGTGCCCTCCTGTGGGCTTCCGGGGGGCCCGGGAGGGCCCCCAGTCAAGCCGCGCCCCCAGCACTTCTGCCTTCTGTCCACTGGGTGTTCTTCGTGCTTCAATGGGAGCAAGTTTCTGTGGGCCTTCCCGGGGAGGAGCGAGTCCCCCCCATGTCAGCGGGGTCCCCGGGGCAGTGTGCTCTCACCTGACTCTGGCCTGCCCGGCCTGCAGGCTGTCCTCTCAGCCCGGGCACCACGGGCCCGGCTCAGAGGTGGCGGCCGGCGGCCGGCGCTCTCTGCCTCTCCTGACAAGAAAACCTTCCTGGTGGGTGAGAGGGTGTGGGAGGCAGGGCCTGGGGAGCCCCACCTCAGGGCCGGAGCGCGGGCCCTTGGGAGCTGGGAACTCCCTGGAGCAGGGGGGGTGGGGGGCTGGGCCCCCCCCAGTCCTGCTCCCAGAGGACCGGACAGAGGGGGCGGCAGCCCATCGGGCTGATCTTTGGCAGGGCAGCGAGAGGAGGTCTGTCTGGACCGGGTTTGGGAAAGCTGTGTGCATCCGGGAGGGTGTCCTGGGTCAGGAGGGCGTGGGATCAGAAAGACAATGGCTTCCTGGTGCCGCCAGCACCGAGCGCACGGAGGCCTGGGGCCGGCAGGGCGAGCTGTGGGCGCTGCCGGCCGAGCCTGCCCGGCACGTTCAGGGTGCGCTAGCAGGGGGGTGCCCGCCGCGGCCCAGGATGCTGGAGCCCAGGGAGTCTTCCCAAAGTGCTTTGCACCTCTGCCTCAGCCTCTGGCCGGGCCGGACGGTCCCGAGGGGCCACCGAGCCGGGGGCCAGGCGCCCTGGCTCCCGACGGGCTTCTGTGGAGCAGCAGGGCCGGCCCCCTGAGTCCCGGCTCTGGCCAGCTGATCTGGTCCCAGCTCTCTGGGGCAGGTGCCCCACTGTGCCCTTCGCTGAGTGCCCTCCGGGCCAGAGTGTCTCGAGGAAGCCAGGACGGGCTGGTGGCCAGGCCCGGCTGGTTAACGTTTAACCCTCCAGGGCTGTCCACAGGGCCGATTGGGCAGCCCTGCCCCTGCCCAGGCTCCGAGGCCACTCAGCGGGCACAGCAGGTGGGACGCGTGGGTGTGCGTGTGCCCCTGCCATTCCCGAGGGGCTCCGGCCATGCGGTGGGTGGGGTGCCCCCAAGTCCGACCCAGCGGTGCGGTTTGGAAGAAGTGTCTAACAACAGGTCCACAGAGGAGGCCTGTGGACGCGCCGCAGGCAGGCGCCCTGCTCTGGGGGGGGGGGGGGGGGGGGCGGAGGGGGCCCCAGGCCAGCCCCCACGCTGCGGGGCCCCAGGGTGCGGCCGATCAGGGTGCTAGCGGGCGCTGCCTCGCCTGCGTTGTGCCTGCCCTGGGATGCGGGTGCCGCCATGGCCAGCGGAGGTTCCAGGGCAGGGAGGGAAGCCCAGCAGAGGGGGGCTGGTGGCCGCCCCCCCGCCCCGCCTGTTGGGCCGCCAGCGCCTCCGGGGACCCTGCGGGCGGGCGGGCGGGGCCCGTGCTCCGCTTCCTCTGAGGAGGCTGGGGCCAGAGTGGGGGCCGGCGGGAGGCGGAGGGGGGATGTTTGAGGTTGGAACTCAGGGCAGATGCCAGCTGAGGGAGGTGGGAGCTGCTGGCTTGGAACCGCGGGACGTGCAGGAGCTGCACGTGTGCACCCTGCCGGCACCCACAGGGCCCGGGTGGGCCCAGGCCAGCTGAGGATGAGGCGCGGGGCTCGCCTGTGGATCGGGGCGCCTGTGCTGCTCGCCGGGGCCCCGCCCGTGCGTGCCGGTCGTCCTGGACCCAGGCCACCCCTGCTCTCTCCTTCTGGGAGCCTGCGCCCCTCTCTCCTGGGCGTCGGCTTCGAAGGACTGGTTTCCTGGCTTCACTCACCATCTTTTGAATCTGTGCTTTTTCCTGTGAGTCCTGATTCCTGGGAGATGTGAACCCCACTCTTTGGAGTCTCTGGGTGAACTGTGACCCATTTATCTGGAAACTGAGGGGACGCACCCGTCATCAAACTGCATGTGCCATGCGTGTAGCCTCCCCCCGCCAACGGCGGGGGCTCCAGCCCCCACGTCAGAGAACCGAGGACCCCCGTGACCAGGCACAGGGTCCCTGTTAGGGCTGCCTGCACCCCACTGCACCTCCGAGGGCCCCTGGGCCTCTGGGGCCTGGGCCGGGCTCCCCTGCAGCCCCAGGCGGGCCGCGCACCCACCCAGTGCACCCGAGCCCCAGGGCGCCCTTCCCCACTCCTGTGTCTGCCTGGGGACACGCCTGCCCCCGAGTTTGCATGCAGCCTCCATGCTTCACGCCCAAGGCCTGGGCCCCAGGACTCGGCTCTGCGGCCACCAGGGTGTCCGGACAGCCCGTACCCCTGGCCGGGCCCCTGCGTGCCCGGAGCCCCCACCGGCACGTCTCGCCCAGCCTGCGCGCCAGGCCAGGCCGGTGGCCTCGGCCTGTGGTTTGGACACCCCCGCTCCGCCCGCCCCTCGCTGCT